CGTCCCATTTTTACAAACTTCTGTCTTTTCATGAAATTTAGAAGGCCGATATAAGGTCCTGCGTCGTGCTCTTCTGGCTGTTTCGACCATAAACACATAATGATGCTAAAGAGTGTCTCTGAGATTATTTTCCCATCTTGTTCTTAATCTGCCTTTTGATCTACGTAATTATTTCATTCTATAAATATTTATAAAGCATTTCTCTTCATAACTAAATGATTCTATGGCCACTGGCATTCCTAACGTAGCACATACTTTAATATATTTTCTTGTCTTTCGACTACTATTGAAACTATAAGCCTCAGCCTGCTCAAACAAAAACGTTGGTAGATTAATTCAAAAATGGTGGATTTTGCAGGTAAAGTTTTATAATGAAGAATAAAGTCAACCACACATTCTTTAGTCGCTTATTGTGATATATAGGCTAGTTTAGAATGTGGCAATTCTTTGTTACCTTGTGGGCCTAGGTGGGCGACATAACAGTTGACTATTCTGTATCCTTATAACTGGAGCTACAGAGCTCCTAATGCGTGTGAAACTCTTGACGGTGACTAGCCTACCTCACGGAGAGAGGCCTTCCCAGATAGGACAATACTAAGTGCTGTGATATTGAACCTCTCGCCTTTAAACTCACGTTGTTTTAATCGATCGATCAGCTTTTTCCCTCCAGGCTGCTACCTAAAAGTCAGCCATATCATCCATCGATTAGAAATCTCAGTCTGGAGGTCACAAATATCCCATTCAGCTTCAAAAGAAGATATAATTAGGACACCGGTAACAACCACACCAGCCAGGTGTATCCTGCTGTCCTATGTGGCTAATGTCGACACGTTTTTAATCCTATGAGCAAACTAAATAGCTACTAACTGAGAACCATGTTCCTTTTTTTTTTCAGAGCACCTTCAATGTGAAAGTGGTGAAGTCAATCACTAAAACTCTGACAGCTTCAACAAACTTCCAACCATCAATACACTGACAACCACCAACAAACTTGGCTAATTACACCAGCACCCACCACCAGCTTGATAACCAACAAGAACATCATGCAACAGCCAAGCTGTTGTTGCTGACGTGTAACTCCACAGATGATGCCTGCAGACTGTGGTGTACAAACTTCACTTAATCTGTCAAACGATCACTGCAAACGGTTAATAGAATTAGAGCTCCCCTGGTATGTGATCGCTTGATGCGGTACGGATTGTGAGAACGTAGAAGTGGCAGGCGTCCCAGCATGATCCAGACCAAGCAAGCGTGCGCCATATGTTTGCAGTCATCTCTGGTTGTTGTAAATACGAAAGTGCCTTGCGTTCATTCACTCTTGCTTTTTCTTGGATGAACACTGAATGGGAATATCCAATTCTCATAAACATTCCGATTCTTTTAAAAAGGAAGTTATTCGGATAAACAGCTTTTTATTTGTTAACAGCATTTGGAGTTGTTGTTAGAAACAAGTTTACTTAAATTCATTTTAATTTACAGTTTAACATTGTGTTTGTGAAACTACTGTACTAAGGATCATAAACGGCATTTATTACACAGTAAAAGCAGATTGTCGTTTTTTCTCAAAGGAAAATGCAAACATTGTTCCACCTCAAAAATCTGTGACAATAAGCTTATTTTGATTTAAGATTTAAAGGATATTTTCCTAAAATATCAAATCACAACGAAGTATATCATCAGAACAGTTGCGTATGCACCAGTTGAAACTAAATTCAGTTTATAAAGTTAATTTAAGTAAGTATGTGTTGAATGTACACCATAAACACAAGTGTGACGGATATTAAAGACTTCAGACGTTGCATGCAGGCTCCACGGACTGGTTAACTGTTGAATTCTAGTACTATAGTTCATGACCAGTGTCTGATGACTGCAGGTGTCTCAAAGCCGTGCTCACAATGGATATATGGCAGTTCTTCTACGCAGTTGTAATCATTCATCTGGGTAAGTTCTGAACACTTATTGTTGTTTTGACTGTTACCATAAAATACTTATGTTGTGAGGGGGAAAAAAGGATGCGTGCGTTTACTTGTCTGTTGCTCCAGAACTTTCTGGATACATTTTCTTAGTACATCAGCTTTATCAGGGTGGTCTTGTTTAACTGGTACCAGTTTTGGCTTTGAAAAAGTTAGCTGATGGGTATTCCATTGCATGTGAATCTTCTGGAAGATAGGTGAAGGTTTGTTTTTTGTTACTGTTATTCCTGTCGGCTGTTAGTCAACCTTTTTTGTATTGCTGTGTTATTTGTACCGGCTAATGGCTAAGGTATTTCTTAGATAGGTGTAAGTTAGTTTTTTGTTACTGTTATTCCTATCAGCTGTGAGTCAACCTTTTTTGTATTGCTGTGTTATTTGTACCGGCTAATGGCTAAGGTATTTCTTAGATAGGTGTAGTTTGTTTTTTTGTTACTGTTATTCCTGTCGGCTGTTAGTCAACATTTTTGTCTTGCTGTGTTATTTGTATCGGCTAATGGCTATGGTATTTCTTAGATAGGTGTAGGTTTGTTTTTTGTTACTGTTATTCCTGTCGGCTGTTAGTCAACATTTTTGTCTTGCTGTGTTATTTGTACCAGCTAATGGCTAAGGTATTTCTTAGATAGGTGTAGGTTTGTTTTTTGTTACTGTTATTCCTGTCGGCTGTTAGTCAACCTTTTATTGTCTTGCTGTGTTTTTTGTACCGGCTAATGGCTAAGGTATTTTTGTATTTCTTTATAATATTTATAGCAATTGTCAGTTAACGTCGTGTGTATTTTCATATTATTGGCGTGATCTGGTGGTTGGCGTTTCGCTTCTTTACGCGTTTTTTATTTTTTAACTGTTAGTGTAAATAGCATGTAAGATCATGTTATTTGTATACATTTCCAGCTAACTTTATGTAATTAGAATATTATTTTTAAACATAAATAACAGCAAATTTGGACTCATCCTTATTTTTACAAGATCTCCAACAGTAACTAGCTGGCTGGCAGTGATAAAGGGAGCAGACAGAAACACTGACTGATAGCATTATTACGTTTGCCTGCCAAACAGGGCTGACTTCCCAACAGAGACAATAATTTAGCCGACCAGTCAGGCTCTAAAAGTATTTTTTTTTTAAAATCTTTTAACATGTGCGGGTTTCGCTAGTCACATTCACTTTCGCCATGGGCTGTAATCCCTACGCCTTTCTATAAAGGTTAGTTGCGTATTCTTTACAGTACGTTGCAGAATCAACCCCAACAGCCCCTAGCTGTTGTGTGGTTTTCTAGGCAAATTTACGTCCAGTAGTTTGCCATTCCTACTGGACGGTCGGCTTTCTTGATACCACTGTCGAAACCAACGCAAGGCGCATGACCCGCAGCTGGGATCGGACCCTGCATCCCGGCCTTACGAAGCGTTCGCATCGACTTAGCCACAGAGCCGACACGCCTCCCTATAGCAGAGTATAACATCATCGACTGGAAAGACGGAAAGATGCCAAATGACGGCTCTGGTATTGACCTCGGCTATTCAAATGACCATCAGATCATTTCTAGAAGGTGATGGAAACTCTACGGCAACGACGACGGAAAAGAACTGACCCATACAGCTCACATCCTTTGATCTAGAATATGCGTCGCTATAAAAGTCTCTGTGGCGAAGTGGTCAAGCCGTTTTCCTCGCGCTCTGAAGCTCGTGGGTTTTTTCACGGCTGCATCCTTTGATTCACGCGTGCAAATTTTACAGACACATTTGGGTATTTCGCTTTCTGCGACGCTTTCGGCAGGTAACCAGCCTTTCTGTGGAGAGAAACTGAGCAATATGGTATACGTTTGAAGTTTAAACATCTGATCAACATCATGGCACACGGTTAGTAACCCATAAGTGCTCCGTTCTTCTTTTAACTCAAGTCTGAGTCCAAAGAAGCACCGGCGAGGATCCTTAAATACTTTTGGGTAGATTTTCAACTCCTAATTTTGCCCAGGCAGCGCCGTAAGGCTACTCTTTTCGATTTCTAACTGCACGTGGATTTTTTACCTGCCCAACAATGCACACGGGCGTCCGATCTCTCTTCCCAGAGACCAGGGGGAATTACTAGAAGTCCAAGTCCACATGAAAAAAATCACAGCCCTTACCGGGGATTGAACCCAAAACCTCCATCATTCAAGGCGGACACCATGCCCCGAGACCACGCAGCCCCTCCCATATGGAATAAAACTCGGTGCAATGAGGTCGATCCTTCCGACTTTAACCTTTAACCCCAGGCAGTTTCTTTAAACGACATCAATAACCTTACCAGAATGTTGAATGTTGAATTAAGAATCAACATCAAAGCACTCGGGACACTCCCATAAGCGCTCCGTCCCTATCTTCAGCAGCAAGCGTAAAGTTAAAATTCCGATGGTACCAGTAACAGTCTGATTGTATATCCGTCTCCCCCTCCCCCGAGTTTCGAGCGTCGGCCAGATCCCCTTGTAACTCCTGGCAGTGCCATTCTCCTCAGACTGTAATGATCTATATGTTCCTCGGCACTGTTCACTCGCTCACAAAGGGCCCTCACAACATCCAGCTTGTCATATATCAGTTCACAACCAATTGGTGCAGAACCGGCCAGATTATTTCTAACTAAATTTCTAAGCTCCCCATCATTATGATTAGTTTAGGCTAAAAATCTCTTTTAAAAAGCTTACCCTTTCTCTTTGTCTGTTGTCATCAGTATATCATTATGAGTATATATGATGCTTGTTGTAATAAAGCCGAATCTTCCTTTGCATCTGTCTGTGAAGTCTCCAAAACTTACCCAGTGATCTGTCATTCCAATTCCGTTTTTCGTCTAACTCTTCGGGCTCCGGCTCTCCTATTTCTATTCCCTCTCCATTTCCTGGTCTTCTCCTCCTCCCACTCTCTCCGTTGCCATCTGAAGATTGTATCGAACACAGTGCACGCACTCCGTAGCTCCGGCGATGATTCTTTGTATTATTTAATATACAATACCAGAAAAAAAGCTAGTATTTCACCATAAGAGACTAAGAGTTCCATTTTCAGGCTGCTGTCACGGAAACACATATTACGGCACTGAAGACGAGTACCGCCTGGTGCGAGATCTTATGAAGAGCTACAACAAACAAGTCCGACCCAGCCTGGGCAACAGCCAGTCCCTCAACGTCACATACGGAGTTGCCCTAGCACAGATTATTGACTTGGTGAGTTATTATTTACTTTTACTCAAAATATTCTATTTATACATCAAAGTGACCGACTGTTTATGTTGTCACTTCAAGCGGCTACCTTATGCATTTAATGCCCGTGCAAGCTGTCTGGGTTTGCGGCTCATGACACGTGTGTAAATGATAGGCATTTTGAATGGTTTTTACGGCAGGGGAACTGATCAATAACATCCTTTTTACAGATCCGGCTTATTTGTATGTAAACAGTTGATTCCTTGCCTCTCAGGCAGAGGACTTTGAAAGAAATACCCACAATGAGTCGCCACGTCTCTTGGCTTTCAACGGCTGTAACCTCAGGTGGACAGTTGTGGTTGTTCGTCCACCTCTGGTTGTATATCCCCCTCTGGTTGTCTATCCACCTCTGGCTGTATATCCACCTCTGGCTGTACATCCACCTTTGGTTGTATATCCACCTCTGGCTGTGTATCCACCTCTTGTTGTATATCCATCTTTGGCTGTGTATCCACCTCTGGACTTTAGTCTAGCTGCAGAACCCGAGTGTTGCTTTTACATAATTTCTACAGATCTGACCTATTTGTATGCAGACTGTTGGTTGTACAGTTCTAGGAATTAAGTACGGGTTGTCGGATGTTGACCAAGTCACTCACCAAGTGCCTATTGTTGTACAAAACATACGTCTAGCCCTACATGCCTGAATGCCTGAAAAACGTATCCTTCACTTGTACTTACTCTACCCTAACAGAGAGTCGCCGTGGCCGAGCGGCTAGACGCTCGTCGCGGATCGGAAGGTCGTGGGTTCGCTCCCTGGTTTAGCCAGACTTTTTTCAAAAATGGCCTTGGCTCCCAGGTCGACCCAGCCTCGAGTGGGTACCGGGTGCAGTCCCGGGAAAGTAAAGGCGGCCGGCGTGATGCTGACCACATCACCCATCTTGTGCCGACTGGTCTATAAAAATATAGGTCTAGCCCTATATGCCCTATACGCCTGATGGCGTGGAAAAGGGTTCTTTACTTTACTTACTCTACCCTAACAGCTATACCAACCAGGTGTAACCTGTAGCCCTATGCCGACGAGGATTGTTCTGTGGTGTTCAACGCTAATTCATTAGCCTATTGTACGTTATAAATGCATTAATATATGCTTGAAACTTTTATTTGAATAAGAGGAATTTCTGATAAAAAGAACTAATTCTTAGGTGCCTCATGATTTCTCCTTATCAGGTCTACACTATGTCAAAGACAAGAATAGTCTCTAAATGTATAATAAAAGTCATTTAAAGCAGTTTAAGCATTAAAGTACGTTGATAACATCCAAAGATGTATTACAGAGATAAAGAACAGAATAGGACAGGTTAAACTGCATTTTAAAAAATAAAGAACATTTTATGCAATAAATCCACGCCACTGAAGTTAGAACAATCTTGAATGCTATTTAGAGCCAGTTTTAACATACGGCTGTGAATCCTGGACAGTTCATAAATAAGCCACATCGTTTCTCGAGGCCTGGCAGAGGTGCTTTTACAGAAGCTTTCTGAGAATTCATTGGACAGCCAAAAAGAGCAAACCAGATGTTTTCAAAAGGTTGAGGGTTCGAAGACAACGTATCATAAACAACAAAAAGAGACAGCCGTCATTTTGTGGGCTATGTTGTGAGAAGTATGAAACGATAATATTATGTGACCATTGAAAAGATCTGTGTGTGACCAGTGCAAAGATCTGTGTGAGCAGTGGAAAGATCTGTGTGTGACCAGTAGAAAGATCTGTATGTGACCATTGGAAAGATCTGTGTGTGACCAGTGGAAAGATCTGTGTATGACCAGTAGAAAGATCTATGTGTGACCAGCATAAAGATCTGTATGTGACCAGTGGGAAGATCCTCAGACCGTAATGATCTATCTGTTCCTCGGCACTGTTCACTCGCTCACAACATCCAGTGGAAAGATCTGTATGTGATCAGTAGAAAGATATGTGTGTGACCAGTAGAAAGATCTGTATGTGACCATTGGAAAGATCTGTGTGACCAGTGGAAAGATCTGTGTATGACCAGTAGAAAGATCTATTAGTGACCAGCATAAAGATCTGTATGTGACCAGTGGGAAGATCTGTGTGACCAGTGGAAAGATCTGTATGTGATCAGTAGAAAGATATGTGTGTGACCAGTAGAAAGATCTCTATCTGACTAGTGGAAAGATCTGTGTGACCAGTGGAAAGATCTGCATGGGATCAGTAAAAAGATACGTGTGTGACCAGTGGAAAGATCTGTATGTGATCTGAAGAAAGATATGTGTGTGACCAGTAGAAAGATCTGTATGTGACTAGTGGAAAGATCTGTGTATAACCAGTGAAAAGATCTGTGTGTGACCAGTGAAAAGATCTGTATGTGACCAGTGAAAAGATCTGTGTGTGACCAGTGAAAAGATCTGTATATGACCAGTGGAAAGATCTGTGTATGACCAGTGAAAAGATCTGTGTGTGCCCAGTGAAAAGATCTGTGTGTGATCAGTGAAAATATCTGTGTGTGACCAGTGAAAAGATCTGTATGTGACCAATGGAAATATCTGTGTGTGACCAGTGAAAAGATCTGTGTGTGACCAGTGAAAAGATCTGTGTGTGACCAGTGAAAAGATCTGTGTGTGACCAGTGAAAAGATCTGTATGTGACCAATGGAAAGATCTGTGTGTGACCAGTAAAAAGATCTGTATGTGACCAGTGAAAAGATCTGTGTGTGACCAGTGAAAAGATCTGGATGTAACCAATGGAAAGATCTGTGTGTGACCAGTGAAATGATCTGTATGTGACCAGTGAAAAGATCTGTGTGTGACCAGTGAAAAGATCTGTATGTGACCAGTGGAAAGATCTGTGTGTGACCAGTGAAAAGATCTGTGTATGACCAGTGAAAAGATCTGTATGTGACCAGTGGAAAGATCTGTATGTGACCAATGGAAAGATCTGTGTATGACCAGTGAAAAGATATGTGTGTGACCAGTGAAAAGATCTGTATGTGACCAGTGAAAAGATCTGTGTGTGACCAGTGAATAGATCAGTGTGTGACCAGTGAAAAGATCTGTATGTGACCAGTGGAAAGATCTATGAAAGAAGAGAGAGAGAGAGGAAGTTACCACGAGGAGATTCTTGACAGCTTCTTGTCGGGGCATGAAGGAATTTTAGCACACGGACTGATACATGGTGTGTTGAAAATAGCAGATTGTGGAGAGGCATGAACGCCCACCCAACTCGACAAGGCACTTGATAATGATGACATCGCTGACACAGTTAGCGTTTCTATAGTTATCCCAAACCAAAGGCACAGATCTCCAATGTAAATTAGTCGTCGTAAGAACGCCCAGCAATGAAACTACAGCATAGTAAGGACGGCTAGTTACGTAACTCCAGCATAGTAAGGAGGTCCAGTAACGTAACTCCACCTCGGCTAGAGACATTTGGCAGGGAGTGGGAGAGGGAATTTTGGCAAGAACTAACACAGACTAGAAAAGTAGTAGTCTAACGTAATTCCTTAGACAACGAGAAAACTCCATTAGCCTTCTACTAAAAACTCTTATTTAAAAACTCACAGGTTTCCCTACTCTTTAATGAGTTGCCCTTCAGGCTAACGAGTTTCTTAAACTACTACGTTTAAAAAGGGCAACGCCAATTCCCCCCCCCCCCCCCCCCCCCCCCCCCCCCCCTCCTTAAATTGAAGCTGTGTAGAAGGGCGATGCGTGGGACATAAAAGGTATTACTTTGCACAGCTGGAACTATTTTATCCTACTTCTAAATTTTCTTTTTAGCTCTTTATTATTCAGATTAAGACATTTTAGCTGCTAAAAATGTATCCCTTATTTGATGAAATTATGCATTTCTTTCCCTTTTAAAAAATAGTTCGTTACGTATTTTGTTGTTGCTTTTTTTTTTTTTTTTTTACATTTGAAAAAAAAGAAAAAGGGGGAGGGGGTCGATTGGGAGGTGACGGTTAGGTATGGTATCTGTGTGGAAGATGCGTTGTTTGCGTCACGTTTTTGAGGTCATGTTTAGTTCGCGTTTTTCCCCCCAGAGATACCTAGTGATTGTTTATGTGGGGATATTTTTCCGTGTATGTGTGTATGTATCTATGTGTGTATGTATGCAAGTTAGTGGATGTATGTATGCATATGTAGCTGTGTAAGTATGTGAGTGTATGTGTGTATTTAGGTATGTATGCAAGTAAGTATGTATGTGCGTAAAGATGTAGGTGTATGTATAGATGTGTGTATGTATGTGGGTATCTGTATGGGTGATTGTATATGTGCGTGTATGTAGGTAATGTGTGTGGGCATGTATTTAGGTGTATGTATGCATGTATGTGTGTATGTGTGCATGTTTGTGGATGTATGTATGCAATTGTAGCAGTGTAAGTATGTGTGTATATTTAGGTATGTATGCAAGTATGTATGTGTGTGTTTAAAGATGTAGGTATATGTATAGATGTGTGTATGTATGTGTGTGTGTGTATGTATGTATGTATGTATGTATGTATGTATGTATGTATGTATGTATGTATGTATGTATGTATGTATGTATGTATGTATGTATGTATGTATGTATGTATGTATGTATGTATGTATGTATGTATGTATGTATGTATGTATGTATGTATGTATGTATGTATGTATGTATGTATGTATGTATGTATGTATGTATGTATGTATGTATGTATGTATGTATGTATGTATGTATGTATGTATGTATGTATGTATGTATGTATGTATGTATGTATGTATGTATGTATGTATGTATGTATGTATGTATGTATGTATGTATGTATGTATGTATGTATGTATGTATGTATGTATGTATGTGTATGTATGTATGTATGTATGTATGTATGTGTGTGTGTGTGTGTGTGTGTGTGTGTGTATGTATGTATGTATGTGTGTGTGTGTGTGTGTGTGTGTGTGTGTGTATGTATGTATGTATGTATGTATGTATGTATGTATGTATGTATGTATGTATGTATGTATGTATGTATGTATGTATGTATG